ATGTCCTCTATGCTCTAACTACGAAAATATTTGATTTACAAATAAGGAATCCTACTTCGCGGAATTTCATTTATCACGGTAGGGTCTAGAACCGATTCACTGCGATAAACGAGGGTTCACTGTATACGTTCTGGGATCTAAAGTGCCCGCTTTCATATTATGATTCTTAAAATTTAATAGCTGGACACGTTCTTAAACCCCTTTGCACCTGGTTTCCATTATCTATAAAAGGATAATATTAGTCACTACCTTAATGAGTAATTTGAGCAAATGGGAAAATGTGTTTCAAAAGTGAAGTTATTGAGATTATTTTCCAACGAAATGAGTAATGGCTTGTAACTATTCTTTTAAATGAGCTAGCGGTTTTTCTGATTAAAGAAATGATTTGTATCTAACACACACACCGCACGTTTCATTCATCTCTTGTTTTGTTAGGTCCTCTGAAAGAGACCATCTTCGTGGTCCACACAAGTCCTGCTAGTTTCCAATTTAACATGGAAAGCACCGCGTCTTACCTGTGGAATCTGTACAGCTGTCCCCCTTTTACTCAGCTAGCCAAAGTTTGTAGACATGCAGAATTTTCATTATTTGCTAAGTTTGTGGCTGTTTAAATGAAGCCCAAATGAACTTTGTTTTATAAGTTAGCTTGCCTCATCTATATCAGTATTTATATTTTTCCAGACAGGAAAGTAAACTGACTTGGGAGCTGGGTGATTAAGGAAATTTATTTAGGGTAAGACTTTTCTGTGAGCAGGTCTGGACGTAATGGAGGAAGTGAAAAGGGCAAGGTTGGAGGTTTACTTGGAGACAGGCCAAGTAGTTAATAGTGACAGTGACCCGGTCCAGCCCACAGCTCTGCTCCGCCTGCCAGGCTCCAAGAGCGGCTTGCCCTGTCTTTCTACAGGTCTGTGCTACCTTTCCCTTACAGATATGCCAATTGTATATTCCCTCACTGAGGAAGCATAGGGGGACAAATGCTGCTCTCTCTTCTTGTCCCTTCCTGAAGAAGATATGTGTGCAAGAGGAGTTTAAAATGCTTATAAAGTGTGTGGTTTCTCTTTTTAAAAGAAAAAACCCCCTTCATACTTAGTATATTTTCTTGACTTGGAGAAGTTGTTGCCATTTACCTGATAGGTGGTACCATTTATCATGCACTGTAATTCTGATGTATTCCTGGGCCTCATTTGCTGAGTCAAAGATTGAGAGA